AAGATGGCGAAATTTTTGCAAGTTACGCTGGATGAAATGGCTGCTGAAGCGAAAAGAAGTTCGCATGAAACCTCCGATAAAGCGAAGGAACTCGTGGAATTTTTTCAGAGCGTGAGTATTCGGATCTTTCTTCAAATTTTTTTTTGCGATCGGAAGCTATGTAATTTCGATAATTTTCATTCTATGGGTGCATCGCGAAATCAGTTACGATTCCGTATTGATCCAGCGTAAATAAAATAGCTGTTTGCTTACAATGTTTGCAATCTTTTTTTATGAAGTACGGTATTTTGAATCTATTCGGTATTCAGTACGCTATTAACAAGGTTTATTTTCATGGTCATTGTAGTTGATGAAAAAATTGTCGGCCAATCCTAATGTGGAAGTCTGTGATGCACGAAAATGAATTAGCTGTTGTATCCACCCGATTTGCAGAATATTTGTGCTGTAATATTAGTATGTAAATCGGGTCAATGGTATTTTCTGAATAAATTTCCGTGATGTCTGTGGAGAGATTTTTCTGCAGTTCATTATAGTTTTCGTCTTGAATCAATTTTTGCGAAAAAACCTTCGATGAAAAGAGAGTGTTCTGTCCATGTGTCGAAGTTGTTCCGTTAAAACTGAACTGAATTCGAGGAATTCAAATAAGTATTAAACTATTTTTTAACTTGCTGACCTTTCGTAGCGCGTGTTTAGATCGACTCATTAAAGATGAACTGAATTATGAATTCTCTATCTAGCCTGATGCATTTTTCCTGGTCCTATTGTTAAAAAATCTGTGAAATGCTTCCGGAAATTTTGATTTATGTCTATTTTATCAACATATATCTTACAGGTTCGCCAAGGAGGTGGAAAAGTCAGTCCGGAGAAAATTATCCGCTTCAGTAAACTTTTCGAGGACGAGTTGACCTTGGATTCTTTGAATCGGCAGCAGCTCGTAGCCCTCTGTAGAATGCTGGAGTTGCAACCTATCGGCACTCAGGCCTTCCTCAGGTGGCAACTCCGAATGAGATTGCGAAGTTTGAAAGCCGATGATAAGCTCATCTTAAAGGAAGGAGTCGACAGTCTTACAGTTTGGGAACTGCAGCAAGCGTGTAAATCTCGCGGTATGAAAGCCTTCGGTGTTTCCGAAGATCGAATGCGTCAAAACCTCAACGAATGGCTCGTTCTAAGTTTGAACGAGAAAGTTCCAACTTCTT